AACTCACACATTTATTAGGCCTAGATGGCTGATAAATGCAGAATGGATGGAAGGCTCAGCAGTCAGAGAACTTGCCTGCATGATGCCCATTTTCTTCTTGGAGGCCACTTCAGGTATCCTCCTCCCCACCTCACCCGCACAGAACCTTTGCCACACACTCACACTCCTCTCAAGGGCCCTGCATCCCATGTATGTCATTCTGTATCTCAGTACTAACCTGTAAATTCCCACCTATTTACTTTCCTCCGGCCTCTCTCATATTTGTGAAGTCCTTGGAGCAGAGATTATCCATAAGAACCTGAAGTATCCCGAGTCCTACTGCAAGTAAACCAACAAACAGCAATGCATAAGCATGCAATATGTATATTAGGCCAAGCATACAGCAGTCATCTCTGACAACAAAAGTGAGGCCAGCAGCTTCTTCCCCTACAGCAACAGAAAATCTGCACTTTGGGGTACATCCACTGACCAGGAAAACCTTCAGATTTGCCTTCTCTGGCACCCACTTCCTCCTTCCCCCAGCACATTATCCATTTCTGAAATCCATGCCCCACTTTTTATTATAAATTATTCTAATGGGTTTTGTGGCATGGCAGAAATCCAGCGCAGCCTTCGGAAATACGCATGCACACACTGGCTATGCAACAACTTCATTTTATAGGGCTTTCACAACAGCCTGGTGCAAAGTCTATGGGGATTTGGCAACCCTTCCTAGCAGCAGCCTCATGGTGGTGACCCTTTCCTAAAGGATGCTAGATGCATTCACGTGCAGTACTCTTCTCTTTGTAGAAGAGGGATTTTTCCTTAATCCCTCATAAAAGACAGGAAAAAGTGTTCAAGTGGGAATTTTCCCTCCGCTGTTTTTCAGGTTGAAGAAGTGAGACTTGGGGGTGACGAAAGGGTGAGAGAAAACATCTGCAGTCCAATGCAGACCTTCTTTCCCACCTTAACCTTCTTCCGAATGGAAAGATGTAAGATAGGCTGTGCTATTGCTCCAGCTCCTTCAGAAACAGGGTTCAAGCAGGGAAGAAAGGGAAAGATAAAAGGAAAAATGAAACCACAGAAAAGCCCCAGAGATAATAAGGTTTTTCAGCTTTTTTGGGCAGCACAGGCTACTTCTTTAGCTCTTGAAAGAAGCCCTATGATGTCCACTCATCCTCTAACAGCTCCAGAAGGAGCTACGGCTTTCCCATAAAACTAGTAAGAAGATCTGATCCCCACAGTGAGGAAGGAGAATAAGCAGAGCCCACAACAACAAGCAATTTAAACACAGAGCACTACCATCTTGTTAAATAATACGTTAAGAGCTCATCTGCAAGCCTGTCTTGGCCAATGAGGGACATAAATCAGGAAGATATAGTAATACTCACTAGCATGCAATTAGTCACTGCTGTTAGCATTTTAACTCTGGATTTCTTGGATTAAAACATTTCAAACACTGTTGTTTTATAGGAGTGATAGGATAGCTGTCCAAGCACCACAATCAAATTACGCCACCAGGACATTCGGGCAATGGATTATCACAGCAAAGGAAATGGATTATCACAGCTTTTATTCTGAACAAGGGAAGAGTATCTCATTTTGAACATGGCAGAGGGGAGAGTACAAGACTATACCTAAGGGGTTTTAATTTTATTCCCTGCCCCTTTTGGACTTTCTGAGGTGGGAATGCCACAAAAATCTGCCAACGTGAAAAGACAGACACTGCCTTTCCCTAGAATTTGCACTGAAATATCTGAAAAGAGGGAATAAATCAGCCTCTTTGGATTGTCTGAATGCTGGAAGGATGCCCTGTTCCTGGGCATTTTCCCACTGCATATCTGGCTGCTACTTCTTCCACTTTCTATCAGGCAACAATCACCACCACAAGGCCTAGAGACTTCAGCTCTGTTCAGGAACTTTACTATCACGTATGTTCATTCTCACAGGAAGGAGGGCTGCTCACCTTCAGAACCTTCAAATTACCCGGTTCAGCAAAGAATTTGTGTTTATTCCTTTAAAAACGTTTAATAGTTTGAAAGTTCTATTAAAAAGGCTGCACCTTTTATCTTTACATCACCACAGAAAACCCATCTCATTTTATACCTTAGTTCCCACACTGCATCACAAACCAAATGTTAGCTTTTTTAACACCACAAATCCTATGGTTTTTTTTTTTGTTAAGAGTATTTTGGTACCTTCAGCACATACAGACGTACTTTTTGGGTGCATGGTACTCAAGAAGCCCTGATTCTGACCTTAATTTCTTTGGCAACAGCCAAACATCCAGCACAGCATGAGGGAAAACCCAGTAAGTCTTTATTACATCCCTGCGATGCAGTCTGAGAAGTCACTAGTAGCCATGACATACTGAAGATAAGACTAAAACAGAGAAGACACACAAAAAAAACCCAAGAAGAACATATATATATACACACACACACACATATATATATATATATACACATATATATATAAAACCGAGCTCCGCAGAGCATAGAATCAGCAAACCTCCTGCTTTGCTACAGCACAGGGCACGTGCCTGAAGCTGATGACACCTGGGTATTATTTATGGCTGTGGTCCTGACTCCTTCAGGATGACTGCTCCAACTCCTGTCACACCTCCAACAGGCTCTCCCTTCACATTTTCCTTCTGGACTATGGGTCAGCAATGGTGAACCTTTTCTTTGCCAAGGGCAAAGAACACTAAATATTACTGGCATCTCATACCTCAACATGTGCCTTAGCACTGCATGACAGCAGCACAACCACTCGCCATATCAAAACCAAGAAGTGTGGGCCACAAAAATAAGGAGCTGGATCCCCCAGATTTCACATTCCCACTGTAGCTTTTTAAGGAATGATCAGTTGCTATTTATTTGTACCCTGCATAGAGAAGTGTTATTTGGAGCTGTTAATGTGATTCTATAAGCAAGCAGCAACACTGGTAGTTGATTAAAACTAGAAAGAACAATAAACGGGGAGAAAATTGGCTGGAAAGAAGTGGAGAGAATCAAAACTAACAGAAAAGGAATTCAGCGGGACAGAAAGAAGGAAAACAGATGATTAAAAGATTATTAGAAAAAAGAGAACCAAAAAGGATAACCAAGAGTGACAAAGGCATCCACAGGAGTATCTGTTGAATGACATCATTTCAACAAAAACCAGGGTGCATTTTGTTTTGGTTGTTTTGTTGGTTGTTTTCTTTTTTAAAATGAAAATGTTGAATTTGGATAATCAAACAGCAGTATTTTATTTTGCCCCACAGCAAAGATATGAATATAGGCTTTTAAATCTTGAAGAGGAAGAAATCAAGCTCTCAACACACTTGTTCTCAGAACTAATGCTTTAACCACATCAGTAACAGCTTAGGAAAGGACAAAGTGACTACAACACCTTCTCTACCTAGAAGCTGTTTTTTTCAGAGTCACCATTACTGCTGTAATTTTGCAGTTATGAAACACTTTATCCTCATCATTTCTTGGGTTCCTCCCTGTTTCACACAACAGGAGCTAAAAGGGGTTTGTGTTCAGCTGAGATCTCTTCATCCCCTCTTTTTCTTCCCTCTGCCCCACTCCCATTCCCCCTGTGTCCTTAACTGGACACCCATGGCAATGCTGAGATAGGAAGCACTGTGGATCACTACAACTAAAGGCAAGTATTTTAGAGAATCAGGAGTTCACTTGCATGCTGTCTCTCCAACTCCCCCACCCTTCCTGTGACTTCACCTGCTCATAATCATTAGAAAGTGGAATGTCATTTCTAAGCTGTAGCTGAGCACTAAAAGCTTAGGCACTGGCCTTCACTAGCTCTATTTCATTAGAGATTAACAGAAACAACAAGGCATAAGGAAAACATATACATAACTTTGCCAGTGTCTCAGTAAAAAAGGTTTGGGTTACCGAAGAGATAAGAGGGAGGCTGTCCATTTTATCTGTGGGGCCGGAGCGGCGAGTTTACATTCGCTGGAGCCGCGAGTTTACATTCGCTGGAGCCACGCCCCCATCAGAATTCCCTCTGAAATGTCAACACGAGCCATATTATTAATTTTCCAAGTTGCTGACCTTTACTGTTGCTTGCATCATAAATCCAGCATTCTGAACTGCTTCTATTAATACAAGAACATGCTCCACACGCCTCACTGTATCTGCACTCTGTACATACGCTGCTCACATGTCACAAAACAGATGCTCGCTGCAGCGTCCCTGGAGAAGCTGCTGAGTTGGACCCTCCTAGTTCCATAAAGTCCACTGGACTGCCATTAGTTATGCTGCCCACCACTAAGGCAGACAGGTTTCCCAGGTTTCCCCAAAGCTCTTAGTGTATCTTGCCTTGAATAAAATGTTTCAGAGTATTTTATCAAGGGTCGTAGCATACAGATGTATTAACACAAAAGAATTTTATTATGAAGTTTAGAGAGGAAGAAGACAACACAAAGTCCTTAGGTTAGATAACAGACATTCCCATTTACTGTTCCTCCCAATTAAAATGTTTTATATAGATGATCAGAACTTAATGCATCATACATGTTACACAGTACCCAACATAAGGCTGTCGATCTGTCATTTCTCTGTAGGCACTTAATGTGATGAATGATCTGGTTACTTGTCTTTCTGTTATAAAAGCAGGAGAAGCTTTGAGACAAAGAAATAAAGGCCAATGGATATTACAGATCTTACAGTGATTAATATCAGCCCTCCTGACTCACATCTCTGAAAACACTTAAGGTCACTATTTCTCTTTCATTTTTTTTTACCGTGGATTTCAATGCATCTCATCAGAACCCTCCAAACACTTGAGATAATCTAATTTAAAGCAGAAGCAGGGATGTCAGGAACATACAGCATTAGGGCTACAACAATTGCCACACCAGCATGTCATAAGAAAAAATAAGTGACCTTCACTTCACTGACAAACAGACAGTTGAAGCCACTTGCAGGCCAGGATGTTAGTGTGATTTCTGGAAGACAATCTAATAAATAAGGATTTAAAAGAGTTAAAAAAAAACCCCTGATACTTACTGTCTGAACTGAAAAACCTGCCTTTCCAAATCAACTAATGGTTTGGCAAGCCTACATGAAAAGCAGACAAACAAATAGCATCTTTTCCTTTTAACATGGAATCTGCAATAAGAAATCAGCATTTTATTGATTTCCATAATACCATCTCTACAGCTTAACAAACTCACTCAGCTGCTAATGCTAATTCACTGATGCTACTGAGCCTTCCGTATAATTATACACCCTCCACTCCGCTGAGCCCCAGGGCACTGTTTCTAACTTTCCAGAGGACCACTGCACTGAAAGCAGAAACAAAAAACCCCCTTTCATTACCCAAAGCAAACTGCAAACCAAATTTTGCTTATTTAAATGGGAAATTAGAGACACTTCGTTTTTAAGACAGGGAATAATCTGCTAGTCTGCATCTATTTTTGGATTCAGTATCGTGACGGCAAATTCTCATTTAAACTCTCTGCACCCTTATTTTTTTCTTCCTGAGACTGTACAATGATATAGCATATAAATATTGCAACAATTACAATTTCTATTAAGACATTCTAACATCCTTCTCAGCTCACAATTGTTTCAAGGGAGCGATTCCAAATCAGACATGGAGACTTTTGTGAATGTCACTATAACTGACATTATAAAACAGTTACAAAATGTTACCATTGCTATAGGGAATATGGATATTTCAAAAATATTTCAATAGGTTTGTCTTTAAAAAAAGAAACCAACACCTGGAACACCGTTTAAATCAAATTAAAAGAAGATACCTTCTCCAAGCCTAGAATCTGAAATGTCGTGAATAATTAATGACAAACACTGGTATTTTTCTCCATTTCTCAACCATATTCAGCAGTCTGCAACCAAGCAGACAGCTCCGGCATACTTCAGTGAGAGTTTTGCTCAATCAGGGACTGCAGAATCTGGCCCAATTAATCTAGTACTGCCTATCTGGAAAGAATGTGGTGGAACTCTGCACTGTAAACACCCTCCCCAAACAGCTGTACCTAATTCTCTTTCTTGCTCCCCATTTACCCTGCCTTGATGTTTCAGATCCAACTGCACTGTATTCACCATCTCCATCAAGAGTCAATGCACCATTTGAGCTAAAACAGCTTCATTTTGCCATGCTTTCCCATGCGTGTATTAATTTGGAACTGGTTAATCTATTTTGTCTGAGAATGGTGAAATGTCTGGATTTTTGTTCACCAAGCAAGTTGACAGTATCAATATGGATTTAGAGAGCCTCTAAAAACAATTTAGTTTTCATAATTAATGTTAATTACAATAACATCTCAATCAGTGACACAAAAGCTTAGCTATGAACACAGTCATAGGAGGAAGTGAAAACATGAAACAAACATGAAAGAATTGTGTCTTGTTCTGGAAGAGTATCAAGCAAACTTTCAAGAGATTTATAAATAAGAACATGAAGGCAGAAGGCAGCTGTGCTTTGTTAGACATATTTTCTTTACAGGCTGCTTAGTACAGAGCTTTCTTCTGAGATTGTAATAAGACAGTGGATTTGAGCTGTGGACACACCAGGTAATACTATCATTTTACAACATCACATCCAAGCCATTATCAACTGCTTTAAAGAAAAACAACTGAGGGCCTGATCCTGCTGCCAGTGATTTCAATAGAAAACATTTAAACAATTCAATGTGAATTGTTTGGGGGGTTCTGGAGAAGGAGGGGAGCAAATAAAAACCCAAAACAACTCCAAGTCAAACACAACATGTAGGTATGGATTCCCTCAGGCACAGAGGAATTTCAGGACAAGAATGAGTTTTTCAACTATTTTTTTCCTACTTTCCATAGCAACAAGGGAAAGCTAAACACACAGAAAACTTACCTGTTTCACTGGTAGCACAGAAGCCTTAAACGGGGAGGGGTTTGGTACAGTCACTTAACAGAGCAGCATTATATTTAGTCCTCAGAAGTTTCCTTCGCCACCCAAGAAAAATAGTTATCCAATATATTCTTATTTCAAGGGAAGGGGGAAAATAAAAAAGAGTTATGAAAAAATAAGCAGCACTCTACCTCACCCGGACTGGTACTGCTGTACACAAGTAGTCATACAAGCATCGCAGGGAGTACTTGCGCAGTAAAGTACCACTCAGCATGAGTAAGGGTGGCGTAATTGGGTCTGATGAGAGAAGGAATCAGGGCTTGTCACGTCACTACTATAGGGGCCTTCTAAAATCATGGGTTTCTTGATTACTTTTCACATTAATGCAAATTCACTCCATTAAAGTTAATGAAGTTACACCGGTGCTAAACTAGTACCAGAGGAGAAAACAGGCCCACTTTATATTGATTTAAAAGACCACAGCTCAAGGACATCTTTCTCCCCCCCCCCAAAAAAAAAAAGGCAAAATAACAATTTAATAAGTTTTTAGGTTACATTGGCCAAGTTACTCTTTGGGATAACGACTGATTTTCTGTTTGGTATCAATCTCAGGGCTGATTTTTTTTGCTTCCCTCCCTCTCTTTGCAGATAGAAAGAAGACAAGATTTGTTGAAGGCTTCATTTCCTCTAGAAATTTGCTGATCTTAAGCATACTTAAGACTAGACTTAAGTAGTCACTGACTAAAGCCGTATTTACTACTTCTTTTACAAGAGTGCTTGCCTTGAAAAAAGAAACTTTATGCGGAGGATTCTCAGAACGATGTTGGCCTTTCCTCTTAACAGAAGTTCATCAGATTTATTTTTCAGATAACCGAGAAAGATAGTTTTTGGAGCGCTGTGAGGTTTGGTAAGCCTTCAATTCAGCAATTAGTTTCCATATGATATGAATTACAAAAGATCGCGCAATTAATATTAATAACTAAACCAGGCAAAGTACTGAGGCTTCAGACGTGCTGCGTATGGAAACGCTGCTGGGGTTTTCCATGTATCTACTGTATTTTATCTACTCCAAACGTGTGGCACACGATGAACACACACCACGTTCACGCTGCTAAAAATACATTAAGGAGGGGAAAAAGAAATAAAAATCGATAGCAATGGAACAGAGACATCACCATTTTACACTGAGCTCTCCCCGCACCAATCCAAGCCACCAAAACTGCGGATTTCACCCTACAACACACGCATTTTCCTGCCACGCCAAGTCAAGCCCAGGTAACAGCGAAACATCCAGGCACGGCAGGGTGGGGAGGAGGATGGTGCACCTGAAATAAGAAATGTGGGTTTCCCTGGGTTTCCATTAGGGCAGTATCCAGAGCCTGGGCTGGAGGGATCTGCTTTCGGGAGCCCCTTACCCCTCATATCAACCTTTGCCAGAGCCTCAACCGCGGTTTCAAGCAGGAGTGGGGGGAATAAAACAGAAATTACAGACAAACGTGTCACCGGCAGCATGACATGCATTTGTAGTTGGCAACGACGCCGGTTTTTATATATATATACATATAATGTTCCCTTTTTCCCCAGTCCGAGGAGGAAAGTGCCTCCGCGGCCACTGCCAGCCTGCGCTGTGGCGAATGCCCCCAACTTTCAAACAGTTGGCAGCCAGCGGAGACACCCGGCCGCGCTCCCCCCGCCCGCCTCCCCGCACAACCGGGGGCTGCCCCGGCCCCTCGCCCACCCCTTACCCCCGCTTCCCTCCCATCCCAGCAGGCAGAAAGGAGCGAGCCCGGGAAGGCCGTGCCCGGCACTCACCCGCTCCGGGGGGCTCCTCGGCGAGCGCCGTTGAGGACCGTCGAGGGAGGCGGTGAGGGGAGCAGGGGGGCTGCCGGGGGTCAGAGGTGGGTGTGGGGGAACGCACGGGTGAGGAATGTGAACCGGAGAGGAGGGAATCAGTTTAAAACGAGCGTGCGGCGAGGCGCCGGGCTGCGCGACGGAGGCGGCGGCCAGGCGCTGAGGCGGCTGTGCTCTATCCCATGCCGCTGCGGTGGCCCCGGGCGGCGGCGGCAGCCGAGCTAGGGGGGAAGTTGGGGCCGCGGCCGGTGGGGAGGATGTGACACCGTGACAAGTACGGCCCGACAGCCATGTACCGGGGGAGGAGGCGGGGGAGGCGGCCGCCCGCGCGCAGGGGGCCGGGGCAGCCCAGGCAGCGCCGCCCGCCCGCACACGGCATTTAACGGCGCTGACGGGCCGCGCCGTGACTCACACACGGGAGTTAGTCACAGGGCGGGACCGCGGAGGATGGCGAGGGAGGGGGGGGAGGCCGCCCTAGCCCCGCCCTCCGGGCGCCCCGCCAGCCTATGGAGTGCTGCGGTTAGGCAGAGTGACACAGTGGCTGGCCAATGGGCGAGCGGATCTGCCGCCAGCGCTGGAGCGGCCCCTTCGGCCCAATGAGTCTTCTGAGGACACTGCCGCGAAGTGCTGGGGAGGGCTGGAGGGACTCCCACGGGGCGGGAGCTGTGCCCTGGCCTGCCGCTGGGGCCAATCAGCATTGAGGGTCGCGTTGATGGGCGGCTCGGCCAAGCCAATCAAAAGCGTGTGGGATACGGGGAGGGAGGGGGGAAGAAGCGCCTGTTCCCACCCCCTCCCCGGAGATGGTCACGCAGGGAGCGGAGGGCGGGGGAGGGAGCGTGACTGGAGCCGGCGGGCGGGCGGCCCGGCACGGCCCGGGGGCGGGGCGCGGGCAAGGAGCCGGCCCGGAGGCACCGGTGTGAGGATGTGGGCGGGGGTTACCTCAGCGAGCGGCGGGGGGGAACATCGGGCTGGCCGAGGCCGAGGTTACCTCAGCGAGGGGGACACCGGGCTGGCCGAGGCGGCAGTTACCTCAGCGAGGGGGGACACCGAGGCGAGGGTTACCTCAGCGAGCGAGGCGGGGTAGAGAGAGTGGGCCCGGCGCCTCCGAGACCCCGGGGAGGGGAAGGGCTCGCCCATGGGCTGCCTGTGGAGCGGGGCGGTCAGACGGGAGATGTCCGGGGCGGAGAGGGGCTCGCCCCCAGGCGGCGCGGAGCAGCCAAGGTCGTTTCCCCCGGGAGGCAGGAGATGGGAGCTGGGGCCTGCTCCAGGGGAAGCCGGGGCGGCCCCGCTGGCACCGGGCGGGGAAGGGCTGGCCGCGTGCCGGGTGGGAGGTAAAGAGCCAGGAGGGGACAGGGAAGGGGGGTCTGGATGCAGCCAAGTCACTGTGAAAGCCTCGGCTTCCGCAGAGCAGCCCTGGCTTTGGAAGCGGGAAGTTGGGTTTTGCTGGTGTTTGACAGGTGTCGTGGCTCAAAGTCTGAATATTGCCACCTCCTTCCCCCCTCTTGTTTCTGTATTGTGACACATTTTTACAGAACAGAGTGCATCTCGGGTTCAGGAGTGTTGTCAGAATTTGACCAGATGAATGAAAGAATAAAAGTAATAGCTCTGACAGCCACGTTACAAAGCACAATTGCTTTGGTGCTGCTGGGGGCAATTGACAGGAACGGTATCAGTGGTGTGGAAAAGCAACGCTGTTTTCACAAATGATTAATATTGGATGAATTTATTTTGGGTAGAGTGCGGAAGTAGTGCCCACTAGGTGTTTCCAACAAATACTGGAGCCTTACCAAAAACTTAATGCCAGTGAAGGAAATGAGATGCTCAAATAGTGTTTCACCTCTTCATCTTTACACACAAACTAAGACCTGTGGGGTTTGAGTTTGTTTTCCTAGTAAAAGCATAAAATACCTGATAAACTGGTGTAAGTTAATGAGGCAGTGCTATCAGAATAAGGGACTACATTGGCATTCTCCCAGGCTCCAAAAATAAACAGTTTTGTTTGCTTTAAAAACTTGTTCCCTGGACAGAGTGCTATAAATACAGATTTTTCTTAGTTTGGCATCCGCAGTAATTGAAGAGCTGAAAAACTGCAACCTGCAATAATTTGTTCTTGGGTTTCTCTTTAGAAATAATGGGGCTAATTGCAATTTTTTTCCTGCTTGCTTTTATCAAGATCCAGGTTGCTGAAGATTTCAGTTACTCATTTGAAGCAGGAATGGTAAATCACACACCAAAAAAACCTTTCAGAGTTGTCTCTTGGCATGTAAGGCATCATCCTGCCAGCTGCCCTATAGTCTGTAGCATCTTGCAAGAAAGCCAGGGTGGGCACTACTCAAATGGCTCCAATATGAAAGAGGAAGAAAAGTAAGACCAGCAAGGCTATCATGTAAGGAGGAAAAGGAAGAAGGTAAAAAAGCCCCAAACATAAAGTGGTGGTAGACAGATTTAGTAGGGATGGAGTGGGGGCAGAAGAGGGTTCGTTCTTGTTTTTGAACATCTCACACTGGCATACAGTGAATGCTAATAAATTAGCTGCAATATGTTACAGTTTTACCCCTAGCCACTGTGAAAGATACCTGGCTTAATGCCTTGGGGTTTCTCCTGCCTTCATTGTGTGGAGGGTTCAGGAAGTTTCTTACATGCAGAATTCCTTGGGCAGGGGACTATTACCCAACAGCTTCATAAAGCCATTAATCCTTCATATCTAAGATAATATTGAGAAAATTAAGTCATTTAGTTACCCCATCTTCCTGGTTTCCTCAGTCTGATTCGGAAGTATCTGAAGCCTTCTCCACCCTGACTGGCAAGTTCAGAAAACTTTAAAGATTTGTTGACTAATATTTCCTGTTGGAATCTGCTGAGCTCTGCTATTGCAAATGCTGCTGCTTTAACTGCACTTGGATGAGAATAAACCAAATCCACTCTATTGTTCTTCTATTGCTTTTTATTTTACACATACTGCATTTTGCTGCTCTTCTGAGTGATTGGCAGTGTGCATTAAAATGTATGAATACGAACATGCATTTTGTTTGCCACAGACTGTTTCTATTGAAACCCAAGACTGTTACCTTGGCATAAGGGATTCATTTCAGCTAATCATTGGGAATAATGAAGGACTTTTGTAAGTGATCTCCATATTTGAATTGATAGCAAGTGCAGAGAATTTAAGATCTGTCGTTAAGTAAGAGGTTAAAATTCTTGCAAGGTTCTGCAACCCTCAGCAGTGCTCACATGCTGATTTGTGCTTAGTGACTTCTGAATGCTGCACAAATGAGGGATCTGCATCAGATTCTGGGCAATTTGGCAAATAAAATGAAGAGCAGAGTGTTTACCATTGAATGATAGAGACATAAATATATATATATATCTTTAAAGAACTGAGAGGGGTGGGAATTTCCAGGATAGATGATTGTCTTTTTGTAGTTGTATCTTCTTTAACAGCAATATTCTAACGGAATTGAGACAGGAATCGAGCTCATGAATTTGGGCACGATTGCTTCTGGAGGGTGGAAGTCTATAAGCAATCATCCTGCTCTGCTGCTACAACCTACTACAGGGGCTTCATGCGCGCGCTCCCAGAGACAGTGGCCAAGGTAATATTTCATATCATCGCAGTGCTGCAGCTTTCCCAATATCCAGCAGTTTTTCTTCAGGGCCAGTGCTGGCAAGGAAGCAATTATATGAAGATCTTGGCTTTTACATTTAAAATCTCAATTTTGCAGTTACAGAGAGAAGTTTGAAAACGTAGCCACTGCCGAAGGTGATTTCTGTCCGAGATGGTTTATTTTGGGGTTTTGCAAGTTGGGTTCTTTAAGGTCATTTGTTTAGGAGCGTGTTTCCTTCAGCTGAGCTGAGCTGAGCTAATCCTCAGACCAGGTTTAGAAATTACAGCATTTCTACTGAATTGCTTACAATTAAACTAGTGCTGCTTAGATAGGGATCAGCTCAGCAGGGATGTGTGTTGTCCCTGGCTTGGAAATTCAGTAGCTCACCCTCTGTAATTTGCGTGTGTTACAAAACTCTGAAGAAAGGTTGCGCATCTTGGCTTTGGCTCTGGCTTTACCTGAAGGTTTCCACAGATGTTGCTACAGAAGTTATTAGAAAGAGCCAAACCACAAAACCCAAAGTAAAAGGAGCTCTGGCACCCAGCTCTGCTCAAGGTGCATACTGTACATGTAGACAAGGTGGGTCCCAGAAGCCTGATGCCCCTCTTTCACTCTTGTAAATGCAGAGTAATTCCCCCAAAGCCCAAGAATTTGAGGTTTCAAAGCCCAGATGAAATCAGGGTGTGGCAAGAGGAGCCTGATTCCTCCCTATTGCATGCACATCTCAAGCAGTCAGAAGTCTCTGACCCTGCAGGTGCCCTGGTGACACAAACTTTACTTTCAGCTACATCTTCCAGGGAGCACTGATGGAGTGTATCATGTTGAAGGGAACACTTGCTAAAAATACTTGTTCTTTTGAGCATTATTGTGATGATTTGGTAGATAGTTTCACACAAAGACCTCCGAGCCTGACTTCCTCACTGCACCATAGCTGTTTACAAAATAAGGTTGTTTAGTTAGTTATTGACCTCGGGGAATACCTCTAAAAACCTGCAAATACTCACTTATATGTGAATAAAAGCAGTGAATTTCCTTCAGCTGTGTTTGCTTTCTGAAAACATTCCAGTCAATTAGATTAGCGGCCAGAAATGTTTATGGAAAGAATTTTAAGCCCATTTTAGAGGGTATTCATGGAAAGCAAAATTTTATCTCAAAAACACAGTCATGTTACCGGGTGTTAATTTATGTTCATTGACTTGGGGAATGGAAACCAGTGGTAGATGTCTGATTTGTTCAGGTCCTGTGCCTCTCCTGTTTATCCAGTCTTTTTCTGCCTTGCTGCTCCCTATTCCTCTGCTGTGCCAGGGATGGAAAATGTAGCATTTTATTTGTTCGCTTCACACCTTCTGCATTTCCCTCTGAACAGAGGGCTCCTTTCTTGAGCAACAGTGAAAGTAAACCGCTATCACAAAGTAAACTTGGGGCCCTGCAATATAAAACCGCTCCCTGCAATATTTAAATTCCTTTGAAAACCATCCTCTGCCATATGTCTATAAACACTGTCCAGCTGCAACGAGCTTATAGATTCTTGGAGACCATCTGAATTCAGCAGAGAAATAACAATACCGTGTGCTGAGATGGAACCAATTGCCATTTTAAACATTTCACTTAGAACTTCAGATACTTTTTATTCTTTCTCTGTTGGCAGTGGTTAGGTAGAACTGGAACAAAGGTATTACCAGTGTAATATACTTCTTTTTCTCAAATGTGGTTCAGCTTTCTAAATAGTTATATTGAAATTATTTGTTTTATTACAGGACATACAGTATAATTGTGCAGTTTAAAAGACTGAGGTTTGAGTTTAATGTCATTACTGCCATTACACAGGCACGCTAATGTGTGTGCTCCAGCAGTTAAGCATCATGTTCCTGATCCCTTTACTTCACAAGTGACCAAGAGAGAAGATCCAGAGCTCCTATTGCAAGAAAACAGACCCTCCTTTACCTAAAGGGGAAAAAAAACAAATCTCTGTAATGGTTTTTATTGCTGAAGTATGCCACTGACATGCGTGCTTGTAAGCTGCACCTACACCTTTCACCATGCTGCTTCCCTTGGCTGTCCGGTGTCACTGTCCCTGCAGAGCACTGCCAAACACCAGCTTTTCATGTAATTTAAAAACTGAAATTACTTCCCTAATACCTTGTAAGCACTCCTGCTCAAACAGCTTTATTGCCTGGTTTACACACATTTCTGATCTAATACCTGAATGGATAATGTGCTGAGTTGCTGGTCATACTCTTACCAGAAACTATGGGATATTTGTTGTATTAAAATACAACAACGGAACACTCTGAAGTCCGAACCACAGATTAAACATGTTAATTTATTTATTTTGTTCCTACATTTATTGTCAAAACTAGCAGAACTTTTACACAGGCCCCTCAAATGCCTAATAAGGGGTATTTGCAAACTGCCACAGCTGGGTGTGCTGGAAGCTTTAAGATGACCTGAAGCACCTCGGTACTGCCAGTTGTCATCTGAGTGCAGCCGAGGCAGGCCAGAGCTGTAGGGATTCTCCTGCTTAGGAATGAAGTGGCAGAACTGGAACACTGAGAAAAATACAATAAATAATAGCAATGAACCAAGCACAGTTCCTCTGTCAAATGCCAAGTGTCAAGTTCTTGTAGCAGGGGTGTTTTTGTGTGGTCCTTGTGAACAAGGTTTAGTTGTAGGAAATACCTGGTGAGAGCAGCAGGAGATGTCTCCAGCGCCTGCAAGTTCAAAGAGGTAAGCATGGAGCAGGGTGCCACACAAAAACAGAGAGGTGAAGTGATTTACTTAAGGGTAAGACTCATCTCTCCCGAGGAGACACCCCTACCCCTCGATTGCTTTATCTCTGCAGTGCTGATGGGGCTGCAAGGAATGGAGTCTCCCAGGTAGGGCAATGGTTAATTCAATGAGAAAGCAGAAAGAAAACATCTTGTGACAGATTTAATTCCCACAGTTGTCCTCTCTTACCCACGTTGTAAGCCCAAGGGCCTGCATGCGGGCAGGAGTGCTTCTGTTAGAAATGCTCCTGACAATAAATACTGTGAAAATCAGCATTGTTTTGTTAAAAAAAGAGAAAAGAATGTGCACCTCCAGTGACCTCTATTTTTCACTTCACTGACGTGATTGTAAATGGCTTTACTTCTCCATCAGCGCCTTTGCTGTGGACACTATTCATGGGTTTTACCTCGCTGCCCATACCCAGGTATACAGATTTTTTCACTCACATTTCCAAATGCTGCCTTTGCCCCGAGCTGGGGCAGACTGTGCTCCTGCAACAGCGATCCCAAACTTACTGCTGTGATTATCCATGCTGAAGGATCATCTGTGATTGACACATGGGTGCCGTTTCCAACTGCGGCTCAGCTTGGTCCTCATCAACTCACCCACCAGCACAGGTACAAGGCAGGGGCTGGATAAACGTCTCAGTGACAAGGGTACTGACCTTCAGGGAGTGACCAGAGAGCTGTAGTGTGGCCCTGTGGTCAGGAGAGCACCAGAAGATGATGTGTGCCAGAATAAGGGTCAGGGCTCAGCCTGGCTATTGGGAAGACACACAGGGAAGTGCTTGGCAGGAGTTGGGGACATTTGTTAAGCTCAATAGAGAGGTCTCCCCCGCTCTGGGCTTCATCCAGCCCTGCTGAGGAATAGCCAAGTCAATGCCAGGAACTGGAAAGTGAAACTGCGCAAAAATGGAGAGGGAAAAGAGGGGAAAAAAAAAGAAGGGGAGGCGGGAGAGAGAGAAAGAAATCCAGGCTGAAAAGCTGGAGGGGAGGACACCAGAGCAAAAAGCTGGCAAGCTAGAAATGGTTGTTCAGACTGAACGTGCCTGGTGATGTGAATAACAGAGGGGCAGAAACTTTACTGTGCTCGGGAATGTCGCGCTTGGACCCAATGGTTTATTTACTGCATTTCTGTGCTCCCCCTCCTGCGCTGAGCTGAAGCCAGTGAGCAAGGCGGAGAGGGAGGGAGGGAGAAAAAGAGAGGCCGAGAGCCTTCTGCGGTCGGCGGGGGCCTATAAATAGCCGGTGAAGTCTTCTAATACCAATCGGGTGCGTCATTATGGCCCTCCCCGGCTCCGCTCGGCAGCAGCCGTGCCAGCAGGAGCAGGAGCAGGAGCGGGAGCGGGAGCTGCAGCAGCAGCACCCGGAGCCGAGCAGCTGGGCTTGGCACGGACCGAGCGGGGAGAGGGAGGCCGGGAGGTGCAAAGGGGGCTGCACGCTGCCTGCCGCAGTCTGTCTCGGGGAGGAGAGGGAAGGGAAAGGAGCCACACGTCCTGAGGAGCCGCCTCGCCTCGCCTCGCCTCGCCCCGGCACTGCAAAGCCTGTTCTAG